TCCATCAGAGTCCATCAGAGTCCATCAGTCCATCAGAGTCCATCAGTCCATCAGAGTCCATCAGAGTCCATCAGTCCATCAGAGTCCATCAGTCCATCAGAGTCCATCAGTCCATCAGAGTCCATCAGTCCATGTTCCAGCGTTTCCTGCCTCCTCACACCTGACTGAAATAGAGCCCTTGTTCCTGTGCTGTTGCTGCTGTTGCTGCTGTTGCTGTTGCTGCTGTTGCTGCTGTTGCTGTTGCTGTTGCTCCTGCTGAGGAGGAGGAAATAAAAGCTTGTGATGGAGGAGTGTTGGACCAGTAACCCACCTTCTGTCCCTCTGAGGATTTTCAGGTTGAATCTTGGAAGAAAGATGATAGAATCCAGACTTTCCTTCATTTGTTTTTCTTCTCTAGTTGTTCTGTTTCTGCTCTTTAATCCTCTTCATCCTCACTCTAGGTCTTTAAGCCTCTTGCTCCTCCTCCTCCTTCTGCTCTCAGAACCCTTGACACTCTGATGGCTGAACTCCACCGGCTTTAAGCTCCCCCCCCCCCACTATCTTCCTGTTCCTTTACACTGTTGCAAGTGCAAAGTAATGAAATGTAGTCTGTATCTACCCAGATGGAGGTCTATAGACCTTATATTTGGTGTCAGGAGGCGTTCAGGAGCGTGGCAGCTGTAGGGGAATAAGCTGTTCCCACATCTGCTGGTTCTAGTTGTAGGTTTCAGTAGCGCCTCCCAGAGGGCAGGAGTGAGCAGAGTGTGAGTGCGGGGTGGACCACTAGGACCACTCCTACGCCAGTAGAGAGTCAGTCAGTGGCTGGTGGTCTGGGGTAATGGCCGCCGTGGTTACAGCTGTAGCGTTCCCTCAAAACCAGCATAAATGTTGTTGCTTGTTGAGGAAGGAGACATTGGAGGAGTGTGACCATAACAGGCCACACCGGTTCTCCTCCAGGTTTATTCTACATATCAACTGCTTCCAAAAAAGGCTGTAACTGGTTTAGCTGAACTCTGTGGGAAAACCGCCACGGCTCCCTTTGGCAAAACGTCCAGTTAGCGACAGAAACTGACTAGTTAGAGCAGGGCAGGACATCAAGCTGTGTTAATATTTGCCTTCTTCTCATCTCATCTTTGCAAAGATCAATAAGTTGCCCAGTGAGTGAAATACCTTAGATTTCCTATGGCTGGACTGCATATTTGATGCTTTTTTCCTACAGTAGTTTGTCAGCAGGATCTACTAAGGCAGCAGTTATGACCAAAGATCCTGGCTTTAACCCAAAGGAGCTTTTAAGGGATGGAGGACTTCTTGTTTCCAGGGTCAACAGGAGTTTCTAAACTGCTTTTTTATTTGTTTTTGAGATGAAGGAAAATCTTCTGTCAGCATGCCTCAAATATTTCTAGATATAAATTAATATAGAGGTGTTGTGATCAAATGTCGCTGATGTAACCGGAACTACTCCCCTCTGAAGACACATGTTGTCTGATGACAGTTTCTAACACTGAAATCCCACATCCACCGCTGCAGACCTCCTGCGCAAAGCCTACAGCCGCCGCTGTTCCTCCCATATCCTGTGCTATCTCAGAGAAGTCTTCACTTTTTCCAAATGTTGTTTCCAAGTGAGCTAAAATCTAAGAACTTTAATCTGTTCAGAATATTGATCATCAAATATTTTAGCCTGCTAGGAAACCAGCTTCATCGTCTGCATATAAAGATTTTCTACTTCTTGGATCTAATTGATCAAATATCTCATTAATCATCAGTAATGCAGGGCTGCATGCACCATCTAATCTTTAGTGAAATATTCATTTCCTGCTCTAACTTCCACAGTTATTTCAGATTTAAAAATAAACTAAAAATAAATGTTTATTAATAAACCTTCCTTCCAGACCAGAGTATCATAGAAAGAGAAAATACTGCGATAAAATGATGAACCTGTAAATAATGACCAAACCTTCCAGCTGCTGTCTGTCAGTCCAGGCAGTCAGTCTACATTTATACTTTTGCTGATTTCAGGATTTTTTATGATAATCAGATTTCATCATTTTTATCAAATGAAATTAAATGCAAAATTAATTTAAAGAGTGTCGTCAGACATCATCTCTAGCAGGGATGTTTGCTTAACCTTAACTTGGCCTCCACACCACAGTGAGACAGCGGGTCAGAGGAGCCCCCATGATCCTCTCTGCTGTTCTCACCTTCTTCCAGTCTGAGGCGCTGC